TGGTGACATGCTTTTTCATCACAGCACATGAAAATGAACAATTTATTTGAAAAAAAGAAAATGCAAACTGAGCAGGATGTTCAATATTTGCACAATATTTCCTCCAAGTTAACAGAAGCTCTAGAAATATTAAAATTTGCTTTTTACAAACAGAGCAGATCTCATGACAGAAAACATGATCACAGTGTGAAATCCCAGAGAGCATATGCACAATACAAACCACAGTCCCCACCCGTATGAAATTAAGCTTTAAAATAATGCACACTTATGTTTGAATAAAAAGATGAAGCACTCATACCAGATATCAAGTGTGCCTGTAACTAATTGGATTTTTGCCTAACTTGTCTCATTCTAGCTAGGAACTGTCCTCTCAAAATATTAATTTTTATCAGGGACACAATCTATCTGTTCAAACTTTTCCGTTAGTTAACATCTGTTAACTACTAAAAAGGACTTGTATTGATGATGAAGGCCAAGAAACAGGACAAACAGAGTGTACTGCACTATCACGTAGGCATTGTGTGCTGGATTTAAGCCTACTCTATTAAGCATTACACGTCAAGAAAAAAAGGAGGGAAGGGGCAAACTTCATGGCTGTCGGTTAACCATCATTACACCTTGGACTTCTTACTACCAAAAGCAAGCATGGCACAGAAGCTATCTTAGGAGATAACGGGCTTTAGAGAACGAAGCTTATACCAAAGAATAGTGACAAATGCTGAATATTCCACACTAACTCTATAGAACAGCATCTAAATATAGCATACTGCAAATCCTAGGCAGATTCAGATTTTTTTTAATGTCTCTCTGCATAACTAGTCACTTTAAAGTATGGGAATAAGTAATTTTGTCTGGGATGTGCACTCTGAAAATCCTGTATAAATCTGTTGTATATTCAAAGCTTATCTCAATCTGTTGCTTCATTCAGTACGCTGTTTAATTTTACTTGCAATACCATACTTCATCGTGCATCAGTGACGCATCCTGACTCCCACTGTTTAGCATTCTCCAACATACTCATGCCATCCATGTTGGTATCTATTCACTGAAGAGCACTTTATTCTAAAAGTCTGCCTGTTTAAAGGGGGTTTATAGCTCCGAGCTTGCACAGGTGAAAGGATCTTGGGGAGATGAGGCATCACACCTGAACCCAGAGGTACGAGATGCAATCCCTCACTAACAGCAGCTCACTCCTAAAGCATAAGCAGAAAGGTAGGGCACCACGGTCCAGTAGTTTAGTTAATGGAAGCACATGTCAAAAGATGCCACGAGTTCTGCCTTTACCCTGACTCAGCCAAAGGTTTCAGCAGCACTTGCATGAATATTGAAGAACTTTGGAACCTATAGAGGTTAAAACACCGTGTTTTACTTTACATTTGTATGAACAAAGAGCACACACGATCCATCTCTGCACATCTCTGCTATACTAGATGTTGTAACAATTCTCTCTGATTTCTCACCTCTGGTCCCTAATTCAGGCTTCTAACTCTAGGCACTTGGGAGTCACAACATCCCATTCCTGAAGTTCAGTAAAATGCTGTGCTGTGAAGCACGTGAAAGGCACGTGCTTCACCTGTAGAGATTAACATATTGGGTTTCTTTACGTGATATATGTAAGTGCTGTCAGTTTAGAACTCAACTATTTGATTCTTTTAAAATCTGCATCATTAAAAACGTTGCTCCAACCAGCATTAGGTTCCCAAAACCAGTTCCTATCGCTAAAATGGTGTAATGGGTATTGCCTCTGAACACCAGCAAAGACAAGGAATAAGGAGATGATGTTTCTCATACATACTTCAAGCACAAATTGAACAGGACACACAAAAATTCTGCACCATCATTGCCATGCCAAACTCCCCCACCCCCCCATAACAGGCTTTTACCATCAGCATGCAGTGCCACGCCTAACTCAGTTAGTTCAAGTGAGATTAAAATACAGGATAAATCATTTAAAGACCTTAATTGATGCTAAAAAGATACCTTCGCTCCTTGCTTCATCAAGTCCATGATCATTTAACATGTAAATGCAACTGGAATATTTCACCTCAACATACCTCCTCTGAAAAGCTGACAGCAGTTACTGCTTCTGCCAACCTAGTTTCACCATTAAACAGAATGACTGACAGTCTGCTTTCCCACCCCCATTTATCCCTGACTTAAAAACCCCTAAGGAAAAGCTAGTTAACCAGCCCTTAATGAACTATTGAAATTACTTGGGATTTAATTGTCTCCAGTTAAGTTATTAGCAGTCAAATAATACAGCTGCACTGTAAGCAGAATGCACTTCAGCTGCCCATGACACTCCCTCAGTTAAGGTACCAGAAGTTTTCCTTCCTCTGCCACTTCAGGCACAGCACATGCACCAGGAGTCAACCCAGCAGAGCAAACCCTTATTTTCTCATCCTTCTCTTGGTTAGCCTCCAGACCTAAGAAGAGCCTGACCACCTCTGTCGTGCATGTGTCGCAGGTAGTAACGCAGAGTTGTGCTATGCCAATTAAATTCAAGGAAGAAAAAAAAAATTGCTTTGAGTGAAATTAACTGGAATTCCAAAACACATGGAAACAAGGGCAAAAATTATTACTGTTTCCAAGCTTTGAAGAGCAAGGTAAGCAAAACCTTGAAGTTGTCGAGTAATCCATCTTACGACAAGGCAAATCTAAATAAGCAGTCCCATCAGGGGACTCTGCTCTCTCTTCTCCCCACAAGCAATGGAACAGGAGAGCTTTGACACACATCAAAAACCAGATCTATACAAAGACACGTCTAGCTTCCCACGTACAAACGTGTCATTTCCTTAGCTCAAGCTATCCGATGTCCATTCCAGGAGGGCACACCACTTTGGCAAATATGAGCCAAGGACGATGTGTCCCAGACGCTTGTTCCAATGAGAATTAAACAAGACTATACTCCCTACAGAGATGACAATATCAATCTGAAAATGGCACTGACTTTAAACAGATCCTTTTTATTGACACCTCTTGAGATCTGAAGCTAGATGCAATTGCAGCATCTCTCAATCTCAAATCTAAAAAGTTCACAAACTGAAAAGCAGGCACAGAAATGTTCATGACATTAAAAAAAACCAAGACAAATCTACAGGACCAGATGTGATATTTTTATAATTAGTATGCTTAAGTTGAAAATGAGAGAAAGCCAGGTTAGGCATCCAGGAAAACTTTTAGTACCAGGGAAGAAAGACCAGAATTTAATGTTTTTATTACCAGATTTTCAAGACAACAGAACACACATGAAATAAGACCTATCCCTCCTGCAGATTGTAAATTTAGTAACTAAGCCTTCCACCTTGTAATCTCTAATTAGGCATAGCTGGTTTATCGTACTCGGAATGCTTCACATATATCAGAAGAGCAGAGTGAGAAGGGTATCACCAAACTGAGAAGTAGGGTGGAGTGCTATATACAATACTGCTCCCGAATTAGGGTGTAAATGACCATACATTTCACCTTCATCTCCAGACATTCAGAAATTCAATGTTATTTACCAAAGTGCTCCTTACAGGTGGAGACTATTAACTCTGGATTTGTCACAGCCGGCTATTTAAATGTGTGTCTCTGCTATACAAGGTACCCATAGTATGTGAGAGGGAGGAAGCAGGATAAAATGAATATTATAACATGCACAAGAGTTAAAACCTATATTCTCCAGAAGACAAGGGGGAAAACTAGCTTTGTTTTACAGAAGATACACTGCAAGGAGAGAGGACAGGAGCTTTTGTCAGCCTTGCTAGCAAGCCTTCTACAGCAAGCAGGTGACTTAAAGAACCTGTCAGAATGTGCTTGATAAACCTTCTATCCCTACCGTGTTCACACTGTTAGCATCATCACTACTCAGCCTTTTAAAAGATCACATTGTATCAGAAGCAAAAAAAAAAAAAAAGTTATAGGTACTTCCAAGCACCAAGCTTTTCAGAAATAAAAGGTTGTTTCAGTTCAAAATGAAATTAGTTGTTTGTATCACAACATCTATGTTCCAACGGAGTCAGATGTACTGTTGGATTTTATCTCTCTCTAAGGCAATGCCAAATTGGAAATATGAGCTTTGGTGAAATCATAATTAATAATCAGATTAAGCATTCCTAATTAGTATTTTTAACTCTCTGTGCTTTATGCTTAGCATACCTAAATAGTTTGGCAAGTTATACAAAGTTGTTACATGAACAGCAAGCTTTTCAGAACTTCAGCCCTTCAATGCTTCACTAGAAAGGTCCTGTGCTCTGTTGGAAAGGCAGCATCACCCACCAGCAAACCCTGTGGCAGAACATGTCAGGATTCCTGGGGTTTTGGAGCTATATTAGAAAACTAGCCAGAGAAGTAGTCAACAAACAACTAAAGAAAATCATTACTTCAAATGTTATTCCCAGGAATTGATGGAAGAGATACCAGCAAGTGATTTTCTACTTCATCTAACCAACCAGCCCATAAGCTTCTGCTACTCCTGGAGCTCAGTAAAAATTGTACTTGCATCCTTTAAAATGGCAACAGAAAAATAACCGTGTACTGTGGGCAGAAGGACTAGAGCAAAGACCAACAAGGCAAAAGAATGGTCAGGCACGTGCTTTGCAAAGCAACTGCCAATTAAGTGCTTGAAGTATCAACTCTTACAACTACACCAAGCTACTGATTCCTTCAACTAAGTAAGCTTGCTCAAATACTTACACCTCCTCAACATTTTGAAGACTGTAGTTTTCCAAGCCTAAATTACATCTCGTACTAAAAACTAAGCAGTCCAACTTAAAATGTATTGTTTGAGTGAATTACTCAAAGCAAGGCCAAGCTACTCAATTCAACTGCAACAAAAATATACAGAAAAACTAGCTGAGATCTTACACATCACCATCATACTGCTCTATCATTTAAGAACTGCAGCCTTACCACATTTAAATGTTATTCCCCCCTTAAAGAAATCTACTGTCTTAAATCCTCTCTCCACAGCCCAGTACTTCTTACTGTTAGTAGTATGTTAAATAATTTTCACATACCAGTTGTGAACCATCAGCTTCTGCACAGCCAGTAGTGCATTATAACGAACTTGTTGGTCTTCATGATGCATGTGGTTCATTACCAGCTGTTTACCACCAAGCTGTTCAATCACTCTGAAAGAGAGGAGGAGAGCAGTTTTTTTGACATTACTTCAGCTTCTGGGTAGCTATCCTATCCAACCACTTCTTGTTCAAGGCATTAAGAGGCTAAGTCACATAATATTTTTTTATTAAAAGTATTTATTTCCTACCATATACATCTTATCTGACGTTACAAATGCAGATCACTCACACTACCTACTGAATTTAATTATTTTTTTTTTAAGAATTCAGAACATCAGAAAGTGTTTGTACCAGACTCCTCTGTTTGCTACCTACTACATACTTCCATAAATTTTGAAATAAACAACAATCAAGGAAGGACCACTTTTCATAGATGGTTATTTACTGAACCCAGATTGCTAAGGAACTCAATATTAGCTTGAGCAGGTTGGCAGGGTACAGCACGATCAGGAAGAGGTAATGCCCTCCCCTCCATAAATTAATGATAACTAAGTCACTCCACAATTTTTTTGCAAGAATGAAGTGCCAATCCATTCCAGCACTGCCTAACCCAGAAAAAACGCTTGTAATCACACCAACACCAGCCACCTGGTACTCCTCATAGTGCTCTTTGCCATTCAAACCGTACTAGAGCTACAGCTATTCTTGAACAAAGACTCTCTACTTGCAGCATTTTGGTGTGTTGTAAAAAAAGAAAGTTTGGAGACAATTTGCAAGGAATATACGAACTGATTACTCACTGATTTGCATATGTTTTATTACATCAGTTCTCTCACAGATCACCAAGCAATTAAATGTAATATCCTGCTAAGAGGTTATAATTTGCGTTAGGTAGTGAGACACTGGAACAGGCTGCCCAGAGAAGCTGTGGATGCCCCATCCCTGGCATGAGGCTTTGGGTAACCTGGGCTAGTGGGAGGTGTCCCTGCCCATGGCAGGGGGGTGGAACTAGGTGATCTTTAAGGTCCTTTCCAACCCAAACCGATCTCTGATTCTATGATTAGCTGTCTGCTTTTATTACTGTTCTTTTCATGGCCAAATTAATGCATAACTGCTGCACAACACAGCATGTTTTTGTAAACCGCAGAACTTTATAAAGTCATAGTACGCTGATGAAAAAGAGAATTTCCTATTTTATTTTATAACTCAGTCAAAACCATCGTGGAGACCACAGGGAATATTATTTCCCAGTAGTATTAAAACATCCTTAAATGTTTCATACAACAGGAATGCATTCAGAAAAATGCAATTGTTTTAAGCTGGAAAATCCTCAACAAGAATTCAAGAAGTTATTAGTAATGTAACAGAGTCAAAAAAACCTTTATGGCTGCTTTAGGCTTCCTCACATTTTTGATCACAAGTTAAATATAAAACCACTGCACACAAAGACAAGACTGTCCCTCAATACAGGGCTGACTTAAACACTGAATTTTCAGGAATTGAAAAGGAGGCAAAAAAGGCATTAAACTCAAAAGTTTCCTTATGGTAGGAGAGCACAAGAGTCAAAATGAAAAGTTAAAATCCTATAATCACAAATGGAAATAGAGTATTCCAGATGACAGTACGTCACTGAAATCATGGCTGAGAATATGAAGAGTCAAGGAACTGTGTTAACATTCTTGCATAACACTGACTACTGGTTCAAATCACTTCCCTGTCATGTGTTTTAGACCAAAAGGTAAGCAACTGTGAGGAACATTCACAGTGAATCCTATTCCTTCAAGTTCCAAACCTGCTCAAAACACTACCTTTAGTTCTGTTTTCCATCTCCTGGAGTTCTGCTTACTTTACAGCAGTAATAGAGCCCAGCGGGCCAGTTACAGCACGTGCACATCTTCTGCAGGGACTGTTCCCCACAATAACAGTGCACTAAGCCAAGACAGTGGCAATTGAAACAAGTTTCTAGGTGCTGAAGTGCCAGATTTTAACATGACCCATTTAAAGGCAAAAAGAGGAGACAGAAGATGAGGACAAATGAGAGCAGTTCAGATTGTTACAGCAGAAAATATTAACATAAAATCCACACTACACATCTAAAAGCAGACCAAGGTGAAAAGGAGAGTGCAATGAAACTGTTTCTGAACATGAGCTAAGGAAGGGAATAGCTCTAGGTGTCAATCTCTCGCACATGCAAAACATAAAACCCATGTTCACAGCATTCAGGGGATCGAAAGAGTTGATCTTGCACAGCAGCAACCTTTGGGACACACGGAAGTTGTACTGGGGGCTGATGTTTATTCTGCGTTTATCTTCAGTGACAGCAAACACCAATGCTGTTATAATACCAGAAAACGCATGTTGGTGAGCCTCATTAGAAGACCTCAGTGCTACTGCCTTGAGAATTTGATCCACAATGTGCAATTTTAAAGGCAAATTAAAATTATTTAAGCTGACAATATTACAGAACAGCCAAGCAAAAATATAGTATTTAGTTTAACAAACGTTTTCTTTTGTCAGACAAAGGGAACGGTTAGCCAGAACAGTAACTCTAAGTCCCCGCTGTGCACAGTGAGTAAACTCAAAAAGTTTTAGGTTCTGCAACCTTCAAAGGCTGAAGGACAATCCAGTTAAGAGTTGAGGATAAACACCTAAAGGAAACAAAAATATTGAAGACATTTGAATTCTCTTATTCTTCTAAACCAACAAATAGCATCCATTTTCAAAGCAAGTCATACAATGAGTGTGAAATGCCAGCCAGGCGTGGGAGCAGTAAACAGCTACATAACAAAAATCATGGAAAGAAATAGACTATTATATGGCAACTGGCACACAGTCCTTAGATATTCTGTGCTTTTAGTCCTAAAATTTCTGAAGTCATACTTGGTAAGAATACACTGGATTACAAAGGAAATTCTTTAAAAGAAAAAGATTGAGGCATTTTAGCTTGTCCATCACAACAGAAAGCTGAATACGTCAAGTCTGTAAGCAGAAAGCAACTGAAGTACTAGAATTTGATGCAAGAATGTGGGTTAGAATAGTATCTAGGACAGTTGGTATTTGCTGATGACCACTCCTTTCGAAAGCTGACACACCTCTGAATAGGTTTAACAGCCTGGGAGCCAGGTGGAGCTGTGGCCACACCAGCAGTACATTTTCCCAACTACAGACACAGATACAGGTCCTGTTTATCCACTCATCTGACCCCATAGCTTTTGGTCCAACAACTGCATGGCCATACTAGCCCAAGCATTATGCCACACTTGGGTAGACGTGTGCAAGCTGTTTAAAGGTTATGGCACATGCCTAATAAAATGTTTGTGTTTGCTCATCTGATCTAGTTTGTGTTTGCACTCCTTCACAGTGAATTAAACCCAAGCATAAGCTGCAATCCCTATGTAGCACATTTTTGTATAAATAAGGAAAAAAGCCATAACCGAAGTATATGCTCTAGCTAGTCTCTTGAGTAACAGCATATTGGCATTTTTCTTACCGTTTCCCACGGGGATAGTGTCGTACATATTCTCCCACATCATGAGCAGCTACAGCCAGCACTTGCGGGTCATCAGAAACCTCCAGAAGTTTCGTCAGGATTCTAGGAAAGGATTTGAAACAATCAAGTCCCAGGTTTTGGCTTGGGGTTTGTTTTGGTTTGTGTTTTCTTCGGTGTTGTTTTTTTTTAAAAATCACTGCAGGCTTAAAATAACAAAGCCTGCAACTGTAAAAATGTTTCCCAAGTCACCCAAACAGCAAAGCTAGAACAAAAGCTACCTTTTCTACAAACATTGCACTTAAAACAATGGAGATTCTGCCCTAATTAACAGAATTATTAAAAGCATTCACTGGAGTGATTTTAGTGAGCCACATCTACAAATACCTACAACCAAGGTTTACAAAATGTCTCCTTTTCTTACACATCGGCTTCAAGATCAACAGTTTTGACTGCAAGATAAGCTGTACTAACCAAACATATAAATATTTCTAAACTGGGACAGAGATGGGACACAAACATAAAGTTGAGAACAAAGCACGCCAAGCCAACCATATCCTGGGCTGTATCAAAAGAAGCATGATATCAGGTCGAGGGAGGTGATTCTCCCCCTCTACTCCACTTTCATGAGACCCCACCTGGAGTACTGTGTCCAGCTCTGGGGCCCCCAGAAATGGGGGACATAAAAAAGACACAGTCCTGCTGGAGCAAGTCCAGAGAAGGGCCATGAAGATGATCAGAGGGCTGGAGCATCTCCCCTATGAGGACAGGCTGAGAGAGTTGGGGTTGTTCAGCCTGGAGAAGAGAAAGCTCCGGGAAAGGAGCTTACAGCAGCTTTCCAGTACTTTAAGGAACTATTGTATATCACTGTCTTTGTGGCAGCAGAAGCACAATAAATTTACCTAACAGTCCTAGAACCAGGAGAAATGAATACAACAAAACACTTCAACTGCTACAGGAAATAATAAGCCTCGACATCAACTTCACTTTGCAGTTAGCAGCATCTAAAATGTTTAAGTCTATAATCCTACATATTTGGCAATATGCCCTCAGGGAGGAATTTATCAGACTTGTTTTGGCAAGGGTTCAGGGCAGACTGAAATGCACATAAATCTCAGGATCAGCTTGCTCTCGCCATACGTTCTAACATCTCACATGTTCCACTCGACCTCCTGATTTCTGTTCGGTCTGGCACCTATTAGCAAACACTGAACAGGAAGAACACCACTCTTATCAGTTAATGACAATGCACTAAAACAAATAACAGCTCCTACAAGCCGTTTAAGAGCTAGACATCTTTTGAGTACACACTTTCAGAAGCCAGTAAATAAGACATTGACAAGAGACTTAACACGAGCCAGCAGTGCGCTCTGGCAGCTCGGAAAGCAAATGGGATCCTGGGCTCCATCAGGAGAGGGGTGGTCAGCAGGGATAGGGAGGTGATTGTCCCTCTCTACTCGGCTCTTGTGAGGCCCCATCTGGAGTACTGTGTCCAGGTGTGGAGCCCTCAGTACAAGAAAGACATAGAGATTTGGAGAGGGTCCAGAGGAGG